TGTGTCGCCCAGGCTGGAGTGCAGTGGCACAATCTTGGCTCCTCCAGTTTCAAGTGATTCTCCTGCCTCAGCCTCCCAAGTAGCTGGGACTACAGGCGCCTGCCACCACACCTGGCTAATTTTTTTTTTTTCTTTTGAAAGGGAGTCTCACTCTGTCGCCCAGGCTGGAGTGCAGTGGCGCAATCTCAGCTCATTGCAAGCTCCGCCTGCCGGGTTCACACCATTGTCCTGCCTCAGCCTCCCGAGTAGTTGGGACTACAGGCGCCCACCACCACACCCGGCTAATTTTTTTTGTATTTTTAGTAGAGACAGGGTTTCACCGTCTTAGCCAGGATGGTCTGGATCTCATGACCTCATGATCCACCCACCTCAGCCTCCCAAAGTGCTAGGATTACAGGCGTGAGCCACCGCGCCCGGCCCACATCCAGCTAACTTTTTTTGTACTTTTAGTAGAGATGGGGTTTCACTATGTTGGCCAGGCTGGTCTTGAACTCCTGACCTCATGATCTGCCTGCCTCAGCCTCCCAAAGTGTTAGGATTGCAGGTGTGAGCCACCACGCCCAGCCCCAACAATTCTTTATATTGAATTTTCCCTGTTCAAATTAGCAGTGTGATTTCTGCTTACTGAGTAGACTAACTACATTCTCTTTGTGTTCTCAATCCCTGAGGGCCCAAGGGTGGCCCATGTCAAATACATCGTAAGTGTTCACTGGTTTGACTACAGGAACAGCAGAGATTTCCTTTCCCAACTTATTGTTATAAAATCAGAATGTTGAAAACATTAAATATTTCAATGATAGAAAACAAGGAGGTTGAGTCATCTTCAAGTTTTTAAAAGTGGCTATGAAATTATTTTTTCATTTCATTAAAAAAAATTTTTTTTTTTTGTCATAGAGATGGCATCTCACCATGTTGTCATATAGATGGCATCTCACTATGTTGGCCAGGCTGGTCTTGAAATCCTGGGCTCAAGCAATCCATTGGTCTTGGTCTCCCAAAGTGCTGGGATTGTAGGTGTGAGCCACTGTATCTGGCCAGTTGTGAAATTATAAAAACATGTAACAATTCTTTTTTTTGAGACAGAGTTCCGCTCTAGTTGCCCAGGCTGGAGTGCAATGGCACGACCTCGGCTCACCACAACCTCCGTCTCCTGGTTTGAAGCAACTCTCCTGCCTCAGCCTCCCGAGTAGCTGGGATTACAGGCATGCGCCACCACACTCGGCTAGTTTTGTATTTTTAGTAGAGACGGGGTTTCTCCATGTTGGTCAGGCTGGTCTCCAACTCCCGACCTCAGGTGATCCACACGCCTTGGCATCCCAGAGTGCTGGGATTACAGGTGTGAGCCACCGCGCCCAGCCCAACATGTAACAATTCTCCATGTTGAATGTTTTATTTATTTATTTTTTAAATACAGTGGAGTTCCAGCAGATGTACATTTAACTTATGCCAAGTCAATTAAAGCATTTTGGACCAAAAATAAAAAGAAGGAAATGATAATAAAAGTGCAAATATTTTGTCTGCCTGAGCTTACGGCTGAACTGGGAGACTGGGAGCAGTAAAGGCACTGTTCCCTGGGGAAATGGGAGGTAGCTTGAGTCCTAGGTACTTCTCAGAGTGTAGACACTCGCTGCACTGAGTGCTTCCTTTATTGAAAGAAATGTACACTTGGCCTCCACACAGAAACTACTTTATCTGGAGCTCCTGAAGAAAAAGAGGCTGGGCATGGTGGCTCATGCATGTAATCCCCACATTTTGGGAGGCCAAGGCAGGAGGATGGCTTGAGTCCAAGAATTCAAGACCAGCCTGGGCAACAAAGTGAGACTCCATCTCTAAAAAAATAAAATAATTAGCCGGGTGTGGTGACACACGCCTATAGTCCCAGCTACTCAGGAGACCGAGGCAGGAGGATTGCTTGAGCCCAGGAGTTCAAGGCTGCAATGAGCTATGATTGCACCAGTGTACTCCAGCTTGGGAGATAGAGTATGACCCTGTCTCCAAAAAAAGAAAAAGAAAAAGAAAAAGGAAAAGATATCATTCTATCACTGGGCATTGGAGAGAAGCTGGCTGCAGCAGTTAGCGAGAGACAGCATGCCAGTCCCAACGTGGTACCTCTTTAACGAATTTCAAGGGAGACTACTTTTATTCCTTCTAAAGAAAATGGTGACCGCACACTGTCAATGTGCTGCTTCAGAAGTTAGCTTCAATGTTAACAGCTACAGCCTAGCATGTTGAGGACAGGGTGGGACTGCTATAAAGGCAAACAATGGGGCACACAACTTTCAAAGGACCAGAACAACCTTCACAAGTTCCCATTCCTCAGGCTGCCAAAATGTGTCTGAATCCCCACTCGACTACATGTTGTCAAGTTCTATCATCTGTCTAAGCCCCAGTTGCCTCAAATGTAAGACAGTACCTCTTCAAAGGCTAGTATGAGGATTACATAAAACAATACACATGAAACACACAGTACAGTGCCTGGTACCTACAGCTGTTAAACTAATTTTTTTAAATGATAGTAAAACACACCATAAGCAACATTAAGAGACAATTTGGCAAAAATAATTAGAAACTTATATCAGAAAAAGGGTTTCTAGTACACAAGAGCTCCTCCAAACCAATAAAAAAGGGGCCAACAATCAACAGAAAATGAGCAACGATTATGGAGTTCATAGAGAAGAAAACAGAAGTGGTGCTTTAACGTATGAAAAACTATTCAATTTGACTCATAATTTGAAAATTCCAAGTTAAAATTAGTCCAAAGTTGTATTTCATCTAAAAAGATCATGTAAACAGCTACAAATTTAATAGATAGCAATGTGGAAATATTTAAAAATGGCAAATTCACTTATCCACTGACTCCAGTACATTTTTAGGAATTTATTACATAAATTCACAAATGACATACGTATTGGGTTATTCAATGCAGTATCGCTCCTAACAGCAAAAGATTAGAAATAATATAAATGTAGGTTAAGAGCAACTCAAGCAATAAAAGCATGTCTACAAACTGGAATAATAGACAACAGTATAAAAGAATGTGAAAGCTCCTTATGTATCGATTTTGAATGATCTCTAAAATATATTAACTGAAAAAAGAATAAGGCATACTATGCCATAATTTGTAAAAGGAGAAAATTCATATGTACTATGTATGTATGTGAATGTATATGTGTATGTACTTGCCTGCATATGGATAAAATGACTCTGGAAAGGTACAGAGAAACAGGTAACCTTGGCTGCTGCAGAGAACTGGCAGACTGACGCATAGGGCAGAAGGTGGCTTTTCATGTTTTTACCCTTTTGTGTCTTCTGAATATATGAATCACATAAACATGTTATTTATTTAAAACAAATTAAAAAGTGGCCTTACTTGCATATGGTCTGCCCTTCCAGCTGTCATCTGTTGGGTTAGAGAGCTGGCTCTGGCCTCTCTCAGAGGGATTTTTATCTATGCTGCTTAAAGACTGGCGGTCCAGATCCACATCCTAAACATAAACCAGAGGGAAACACAATGCTCACTTTTCTTCATCATAATTTGGGCAGAGACGTGCCTGTTTTAATATGGCTGGTCCAGCCTGTATTCAAGTGCCTTGCTTAGCTCAAAATAAAATTATACCACACGCTTAATGTAACATGCCTCAGAGGCTGCAACGGAGAGATTAAGAATTTAAATTACTTCTCCTCCCAGTAAAATTTCGTATTTTCCTATTCCAACCAAGAGGACATTTCTCTACATATTAGGATTTAACAATAAGAGTGACAAATTTTTTATGCGATCAAGTTCAAAGATAAATTACTAGTGCAGTAACTAGTTTTTTAAAAAGTTGACAGCAGGCCAGGCACGGTGGCTCATGCCTGTAATCCCGGAACTTTGGGAGGTCAAGGCAGGCGGATCACCTGAGGTCAGGAGTTCAAGACCAGCCTGGTCAACATGGTGAAACCCCATCTCTGCTAAAAATACAAAAATTAGCTGGGCGTGGTGGCGGGCACCTTGAATCCCAGCTACTTGGCAGGAGGCTGAGGCATGAGAATCGCTTGAACCCAGGAGGCAGAGGTTGCAGTGAGCTGAGACTGGGCAGCTGTACTCCAGCCTGGGGACAGAGAGACTGTCTCGACAAAAATAAAATAAAATAAAAAACTTAACAGCAGAAGACAGTTGCTGTATCCCAAATGCTTTTTAAAATCTAATGGTCTTAGAGTCATTTAGGAATAAAAGTTAATAATTCAACTCCTATCTGTAAACCAAAGTATTTAAAAGTGAGATCTGAATTAGAACTTCTTTATGTGGACTCACACAAAAAGTAAGAACTACCACTTCTTTGGTGAAGAGGAAAGCACTATTAATTTAGGAGGGCAACAAACAAGCACAGTTACACCAAAGCACTGTTTACAATGTTGAAATCCTAGAACTAACCTGAGAGTCTGGTAAGGGAGAAGTAAAGAAATTATAATACTATGCAGCCACTGAAAAGGCTGCTCTTAAAGAATAGTTTAAAATATGGAAAAACGCTTACATGTTGTTATATGCTAAATGATCCCTCATTTCAAACTGTGGCTGGCTTTCCTAGGCAGGCACAGTCACACAAAGCGGCAGCTAGAAATGTAAACTGCTTTTTACTTGGCGAGGTTACTTACTTGCTTAATGCTTTTCTGGACTTTTTAAAAAATATATTATGAACATATATTATTTTTAGATCTTATAACTTTTTTTACTCACTTCCCATTAAAAAAAAGTACAAACTATACAGGCTTACTGATCTTTTACTAAGATAGAACAAAGAAAAGACAACCAAAGAAGAACCCCAAATCCTACCAAATGCTTTTCTGATGAATCTTCCTCCATTCCTACAGGTCTCCATGTCAGCAAACTTAAGAAAAAGAAACAGAAAAAAAATAATCAATGTGAAAGGCAATCAGGAGCTTTAAGACATCCAATGCACACGGAGATAAACGGGAACAACTGCATGAACACTTACACATGTGGGATGGTTGTTTTGAAAATATCCAACATACAGTTGCAGGTTTCATCCCAGACTTCAGGACTGAATTTCTCTCCATTGGATATTACTAAGTTTTCTAAGCAATTTGTACCTGATCGCGCCAACTGTTCGTTATCTGTAAAATAAAGCAGTATCTATCATTAAACTTCTACTGCTATTTTGATGCCAACCAGGTCTCAAATACTGTATATTGTGAGTTGGAGACAGCAACCGGTGAGTTTCTAGGCTTTTAATTAATGAAGCCATGCTACAGACAGTATTAAAATTTTCATTAAATTTTTTTTGAAGAGATAAAATTGTTTATCATAGTTTTATTGCTAAAGAAAGAAGGTCAACATTTTGCTACTTTAAGTGGCTCATGTATGAAAAATGGTAATAGAAGAGAGAAAATACTAGACCAGGTTTTCAAAAATTTAGTCACTCATACACTACATTTCCAATTTTTGCCATTTGAACAATATCAAATATTTTGTCATTTATTTTAAAATTAAGTCACTTTTTTTTTTTTTTTTTTTTTTTTTTTTGAGATGGAGTCTCGCTCTGTCGCCCAGGCTGGAGTGCAGTGGCGCGATCTCCGCTCACTGCAAGCTCCGCCTCCCGGGTTCACGCCACTCTCCTGCCTCAGCCTCCCGAGTAGCTGGGACTACAGGCGCCCGCTACCTCGCCCGGCTAGTTTTTTGTATTTTTTTTAGTAGAGACGGGGTTTCACCGTGTTAGCCAGGATGGTCTCGATCTCCTGACCTCGTGATCCGCCCGTCTCGGCCTCCCAAAGTGCTGGGATTACAGGCTTGAGCCACCGCGCCCGGCCTTAAGTCACTTTTTCAAAAGTGTAACTAATTTGGCCTTGCCCTAAGCCAAAATTATCTACGGAATCCAGGTCTAATGTGCCAGCTGGGTATTTTTCCTGACAAACTCTAAAATAAACACACAACTACTCAAATGAAAAATGTCTCTTGATGAAGCTGTTGATCTTGACTGAAACAGTACATTTTAAAAACATTTTACTAGAGAAAATTTCAAACATACAAAAGTAAAAAGAACAGTATAATACATGAAGGTACATCTTGTAGAATGTAAAAATAACTATATCCCATCTTTAAGAAATGCTTTATGAACTGACTTGGGGGGGACTGTTTTTATATTGTAATTAAAACACACACATTTCACCAACTAAATTACACATTGTACTCCTTGGCACTACATCCATGCTTTTAAATATTGAAAAAACTAACCTCTCATTAAGGACTATGTAAGAAAAATGATGCCTAGAGGCTTAAAGAGTACCTTGTTTTACGCACCACTGCAATTGTGCAAATACATCAGAAAGAAGAACTTCATTCAAAGCTTCATAAAACTGGGTAAAAACATCACAAATAGCATAAAGTGCGTGATTGCAGGTTGTTGTCATCCACTCAGATTTCTGGGAAAACAAAAAGATAACACTTAAAAGCTACTCTCCCTGCAGTGAGATGGGCACTCTTGTACTCCTGGGAAAACTGTTGTAGAAAGCAATTTGGTCATATGTATCAATAAGACATCTTAAAAATGTTAACACAATCATATGTACAGAGGATATACACAGAGATATTTATAAAATCATGGTAATGATGCCAAAAGTGGAAGCCAGAAGTGAAAAAAAAAATGGATAGATTTGGTTACTTAAAAGCTAACTTTTCCAAAATGAAAAGAAAATAAAGATAATAAAGTGGGCAAATCATCTGCAACTCATGTAAGCATATGCTACATTATTTATATATTTTAAAATGCATAAATCAATAGGAGAAAGATGAATAACCTAGTAGATGAGCTAAGAGTAATTCACAAAAGAAGAATTCATAAAAGGCAACTCTTAAGAATGATCGCCGGGCGCGGTGGCTCAAGCCTGTAATCCCAGCACTTTGGGAGGCCGAGATGGGCGGATCACAAGGTCAGGAGATCAAGACCATCCTGGCTAACACGGTGAAACCCCGTCTCTACTAAAAAATACAAAAATCTAGCCGGGCGAGGTGGCGGGCGCCTGTAGTCCCAGCTACTCGGGAGGCTGAGGCAGGAGAATGGCGTAAACCTGGGAGGCGGAGCTTGCAGTGAGCTGAGATCCGGCCACTGCACTCCAGCCTGGGCGACAGAGGGAGACTCCGCCTCAAAAAAAAAAGAAAAAAAAAAAAAAAAAAAAAGAATGATCAATCCTATGAGAGAAAATATGCCACCTCACTAGCAGTTTGAAACACTTTTTCAATGTGATACATTTGGCTTATCAAATTAGCAATGACTAAAACAAATTAAAATGAGAAGACCTGGAACGAATATGGAGAAACAGAAACTCTCATGCATTGTTGACAGAAGTGTAAATGGCTACAGAGATATTTGCAGGTCAGCTTAGTGGTACATATCAAAAGGCTTAGTAATATGCAGGCCCCAAACCTGGCCACTTGTCTTTAAAGAGGAAAACACCACCACAAGTACCAGTGTAGCTGCAAAAAATGTTCATTTCAGTGCTGTCCAGAAAAACTGGAAGCAGCCTAAATGTTCATGAGCTGTGGAACATCCACAGCTAAGACTATTTTGTAGCCATTATTAAAACAACATTGTAGAAGAACGGCTGGGTGTGGTGGCTCACACCTGTAATCCCTGCACTTTGGAGGCTGAGGCGGGTGGATCACTTGAGGTCAGGAGTTTGAGACCAACATGGCCAACATGGTGAAATCCTGTCTCTACTTAAATTACAAAAATTAGCTGGGTATGGTGGCATGAGCCTGTAGTCCCAGCTACTTGGAAGGCTGAGGCAGGAGAATTGCTTAACTTAGGAGACGGAGGTTGCAGTGAGCTGAGATTGCACCACTGCGCTCCAGCCTGGGCAACAGAGCAAGACTCTGCCTCAAAAAAATGAAACAAAACAAAGGAACAAACAAACAAACAAACAAACCAACCATTCTAGAAGAAAAGTTATGGCTATGGAAAAATACTCATGTATTAAGTTTAAGAAGTAGTTTACATATGTGTGTTGGAATTCTATTTTCATAGAAGAAAAAAGGTGGATCACAAATACATGTGTGGGTGGACACACAGATGAAAGTCTTAACAGTGGCTGCCTATGAAAAACTGCAACTGTGGGTGTTTACATTTTTCTTTCCTTTTGTCTGTGTTCTGTAGTTCTATTTGTTTTATAATGAGGAAAAACATATTTAAATTTAAAAAGATTAGAAAACTCCATCTATACTATGACCTCAACCATATTTATTTATTTAAGAGATTGGGTCTCACTATGTTGCCTAAGTTGGTCTCAAACTCCTGGTCTCAAGTAATCCTCCCACCTCACCTTCCCAAAATGCTGGGATTATAGGCATGAGTCACTGTGTCTGGCCTCTGAACCATATTTAAACCATGCAGAAGACTGAGAAAAATTTGCAAAAACATTAACTCTAATTTTGGATGGTAAAGGAATAATTTTTTTGTATTTGCCTAATATTCCATATTAAGCATATGTCACTTTTATGTTGGGGTGAGGGAAGGAACGCTGTTCCCAAAAGAAATAAAAAAGATACTTTTCCATCTAAAAATCTTGAGCCTAGAATACCCTTTCGTTATCCCTGAACCTCTAAGGGACAAATAAAAACACCTACAGGCATCAAACATCCTTTTAAAAAAAAAGGCCTAATATTCAACATCATCTCCAAATGCAACTTCATTAAAAACCCTTAAGGGAGCAGAGACATTCCACTTTCTGACTGCTCAGAGGTTGATATGAACAAAACAACTACAGTGACCAGTCAGCAGCCCTGCTGAACTGGAAGGTGCAATGCCTGAGGGCCAAGCGGCAGGCCACAGAGATGCGTTTCCTCTCATTCTTCTGAACGTGGAGAAGAGTCACTCAGGACTAGCTGATATTGGTAGGAGAGTATCAGAAAGGTGTTTCCATTTTTAAAACCTTAAGTTGCTCAGTATTTAAGAACTCTGGGTAGACGATGATGCAGCCCCTAGAGGCAAATATAGGCCAGAAAGGCTTTCCTCTCCATTATACCCAGGGCAGTGCTGTAGTTTTTACCCACCTCTGACTGTTGCTCAGGGAGTTTCATATTGTCAAAAATCCGAAACACAATTCTGAACAGGTCTTGCCACCAGTGTTTTTCAAAGGTGTGGCCATAGCTCTTCATGATCTCAAACATGACTGTGAGTCCCCTGGAGGAAACAAAGTCAGGCACAGAAGAAAGAATGGTGGAGAAGAGAACAACAGAGAAAAGAGTGGGGTCAGGTAAGCAAGTAAATGGGGTTCATTTCAGTGATGTAAGGGGCCACCACATGGGAACATGGTTACCTTGTTCGTACATCTAACTTGCATCTATTAATGATGCAGGAGAGTTCGAATAAGATGGGGAACCAGCCTCGGACCCAGACTCTGTCACCAGGAGCTACATTCATGTCATCACTTGTGTATTCTTGTAGCACCTATGATGAAAATCACATCTCAGGTGTAAACTAATCATGCAAAAGGAAGGAACTGAAAGGGAACTATATACCAATTAAGGCCCCACACATTTTTCTCTCCCAAAAATCTCCATTCAGCAAGGGTACAGTGGGAACAGACTGCACAAAGACATTATCTGTCCCAAAGGGCACATGAGCAGCTTCCCAGTACAAACCTATGGACCTCTGCGGGTTTTAGAACAAGTTGAAGGGGGCAGATCACAAGAGTCCTGGGGGTGGGAGGTATTATACAAAGAAGAGCTCTAAAGGTCAAATGGTATTGACAAAATATCCAGGATAATTCATTATCTTAGGTCTTTCTGGAATGTTACTGTAATACATATTACTTAAAATAACATCCGCAGCTACTATTGACTGAGTGCTTGCTATGGGCCAAGCACTGTTAAAAGTTCTTTTCATGGATTAACAATTCTCACAAGGATTCCAAGTGGCAGGTAGAAACAATGGTCCTGGGTTATAGATGAAATAAGTGAGGCATTAAGAGCTTCAGTAAGCTGTTCAAGGTCATGCAGCTAGGACCTGGCAGTCTCTACAGTCTGCATGTATAGCCCTACTCTCTGCCCTGTTTCTGGGATTTTGACTCCTCTGCTCTGTAACCACTCTTGAAGTGGTACTGAAAGTTCTTTAGCAACTCTTGTTATCTAATGTTAGGCAATTTCTCTCTGTGCTTTGGTTAACTCTCCTGTACAATGGGAGATAATTACGTCTCATAGGTCTGACGTGGGGACTAAATGAATCAACATACAGAAAATATCTAGAATGGTGCCCAACAAGTACTAAGTGCTCAACCAACATTGGCTCCCATTATCATCACATCTTAGTGAGCTGTTGTAAGGGATGAGACATCTCACCTTAGAGGTTTATAGCTCTTTCTGTAAAGGATACTGAAGTAGAGATCTACACAGGACATCATAGTTTAGACGGACTTGTTTTCAGCCTATTTCAGTGTTTTGGGACTCTGTCATTTAAACCAAATAGGCCTCTTTAGAAAGATGAGACACATCACAAAAAACCCCATGATTTTCAGGAGAAAACAAAAGGTGATTTTTAAATATGATTTCTCAGGCACATTACAAAGGCATAATGCCATTTCCTAAAAGGGAGGTTTGTTTTCTTTCAAATAGAAAGGTCTAGCTTCTTGAGCTTTGCCAAAATACAAAAGCTAAAATACAAGTAACTTTTGCAAAAACAATTTGTAGAATATCATAGGTTCAGTATGAATAAAATACAGAATTTCACATATACCAGATAATGAAAAGACCTAACTCCCTGCCATGGCAGCATTTTGAAATAAACGCCTAATTTAGGGCAAACATACATTTCTACGAGCGCAGCTGGAAAGCTCTTTGTTAGGAGCAAGAATTTCTGCTTCATGACCTTTTCCCTTCACTGCCCATCTAAGTAAGGTGGGGAAAAACGAACCCGAGGCCTCTCAGAGACGTATTTGCCACAGAAGCGGATGAGCCGAATCGCTTCCATGCTTGTGTCAGGGAAAGCGGCGTTGCAGGCGAACTCTGATAAGCACTTCACAGCATCCTGAAAGGAATCGATGGCTGCAGGAAAATGGTGCTGGAAAATAGTTGCTGGGGGAACACAAGGCACATTTATCATAAGATCAGGATTTAGAAATGGGGATGAAAACATGCACGTGCGCACAAACACATACACACATATATCAGAGATAACTGTGAAAATCTAAGGAAAGCATGTCAGTATCTTTGGAAGACAGTTTTTCTTATTAAATTACTCACTGGGTACAGCTTGGGCTAGACAATCTTTCTGAGCTCAAGCAATGATGTAAAGGCCCAAATATCCATTCATTCAACATTTATTGAATGCCAACTATGTGCAAAGATGAGTCGATGCCTACAAATTTCCATAGAAATGAAGTAAACATCACGTTACATGCTTGCAGGCAGAACCCAGGACTCCTGGTCAGTCCAGAGGAGGGGCACACTGCACTAACGCTGGGCTGGACTGCCCGAGTGCAAGTCCTGGTTCTACTACATCCAAACTGTGTGTCCTCAGGCAAGTTCTTATATTTATTTTTCTGTGCCTCAATTTCCTCTTTAGTAACATGGGGGAAATAATGGGATAGTCTGTTCTCACTATTCATGAGAGTTACATTCTATAAAGTTGCCATAAACACTGAATTCAAGAATAGTGAACCATGGCTCTTAGGGAAAAGATGGAGATAGGCAGCTAGATGCCTGCAAGTCTCTGGTCAGAACATTTTCATCAGCTGATCAAGACATAACCTTGTTGTATGTGTGTTCCTGATGAAAAGACTCCTTATTTAATAGATATTGTTGATTCATTAACACTGAACTCACAGCCAATAGCACTGTAACTCATTCTTGAAGGAAGCTCATCTAACACACATATTTTTTCCATAAGACACATCACAGTCTTTCTGCACGTAGAACACTACCCAGCATTCAGCACTATGCTTGGGCGACATTTTAAACAGTGAAATAAATCACCAACAAAAAGCACAAAAATGTAAAAAAACATGGCACTCGATAGGCCACAGAAAGCACACTTGTTTATGTCATGGTAGCTCAAACAAGAAGGCAGGGCACCACCTTCTTCCGCCACAACGGGGAATGTGCGCCTTGGGTGACTCAAGTTTTTGCTGTTCTGTGCATGCACATGTTGGCAAATGACCACAAAAGCACCATGAGTACTGGTTGTGGCGTTATTAATGTATATACATTTTAGTGAGTATATACATGGAATCCACCAATAACGAGGACTGACTGTACTTCTTTTATAGTCATTAGAGTGGCCTTGGGATTGATTTGACTTTCAAATTTCATCTGGCTTGAAATAACATTCACGTTTATCTGCTGGACCCAAACTGACTGATAACAGTAAAGGCCATTTAGAGAAGGCAAGGAGAAAGTCAAAACGAGTTAAAATGAGGATTAATACTCATCAAGTGCTTATAACACTGCCTGGCCCATTACTATATCACAGTAGAGCCAAGGTAGGGAAGCCCCTGTAGGCAGTAAAATAGACAGCAAGTAAGTGACACCCTTCTAGACGTGCAGGTGGGACATCAGTAGGGAGGGAACAGAGCCACTTACTGACAATGTGGCAAGTGGTCTGGAAGGCCAGCTCCACAATGTTCCCGTCATGATCAGAGGCTGCCTGGTGGAACACGGCAAAGATGTTCTTCCAGCCTGAACGGATGTTGGCTGCCTGGGAGTTCACCATCTGGGCGATGCAGCGGATCACCATGTCCCGGATGGTGGGAGACCTGAGGAAGGAATGGGATGGCCATATCATCTGTACTTTGGAGAATGGGAAGAGAAATGAACATAGCTCATCCCTTAGAAGCAGCACTTAAACATTTCTTATAGCACATAGCAATTCACATTTGGGCTCTGCCCCATTTCCTCTGACTTTCATTCCAAACCTAGCATGCTGCATAGAGCTACAACCACCATCCTGCAATCACGAAACAATAAACTCAAGGTTGAAAAGCTGACCCTCTGAATGGAAGAACAAAAGGAAAAAGCCTGGGTCTCAAGTAGTCCCTATCCAGGCCATGGAACCAAAGTTGAATGCTTGCCTCTGACTTCTTTCCTGTTACGAAAACAATGAATAGCCTTGCGGTTTAAGTCACTGTTGGTCAGTTTTTCTGGCCAAAAACATTTCAAATAATATAATTCTGCAACCTAGAGATAATCATTACTAAATTCTTGTGTGTATCTTCTTAGATTTTGGGGCAGGGATATACCTATCGATAAACGCATGTATGTGGACTGGAGCATACATATATAATTTAAGGTGCAATGTTTGCCTAAATTACTATAAAGCAAAACTTGAAGATAGAGAAAATGGCTGATTTTCTGGAACAGCTGCAATTGTCTCACAACCTGTTAAGACATACGATTATGGAGGAACCTTATTATCTCACAAACAGCAAGAAGGAAAGCTATATAAGCCTATAACTTCAATAGTACTAGTTTTAAAAATCAGTACAGTAGCCTTGGGATTGCAGGTTTGACTTTCGATTTTTTTTTTTTTTTTTGAAACAAGGTCTTACTCTGTTGCCCAGGCTGGAATCCAGTAGAGCGACCTCGACTCTACAACCTCTGTCTCCCAGGCTCATGACTTTCAAATTTTATCTGGCTTAGAATGACATTCATGTTTGTCTTCCAGGCTCACACTAACCAATAATAGGAAAGGCCATTTAGAGAAGGCAAGGAGAAAGTCAAAACAGTTAAAAATTAGCTGAAAGTTCACAAAGTAAACATGTCACCTGCAGATAACAAAGGACTGACTACACAACATAAGTAACTTCCATATATAATAAAAATGAATTCATGGTTGTCTCTCCATGGAGAATAAAGCAACTTTTTGACAAAACTATATTTATTATGTTTTTTGCCTGATTGTTAAAAGTAAGATAGGATGATAGTAAAAGTTTTGGAAAACGCAGAAAAAGGATGATAAAAAAAATTTGCCTGGGTGCGGTGGTTCACACCTGTAATCCCAGCACTTTGGGAGGCTGAAGCAGGTGGATCACTTGAGGTCAGAAGTTGAATACCAGCCTGGCCAACCATGGTGAAACCCCGTCTCTAATAAAAATACAAAAATTAGCCGGACATAGCAGTGCACGCCTATAATCCCAGCTACTCGGGAGGCTGAGGGAGGAAAATAGCTTGAACCTGAGAGGCAGATATTGTAGTGAGCCGAGATTGCACCACTGCACTCCAGCCTGGGCAACACGGCAAGACATCTCAAAAAAAAAAAAAAAAAAAAAAAATCCTTTACATGATATATGGTATTTCACATGGAGAGATACATTTAACTATCCCTATTATATTGTCTGTCCAATTCTACAACCTGTCCTTTTCTCTAAACTGTTATTAGTAATTTCCCACATTATAAACATTATGAACTTTTTTTTTTTTTGAGATGGAGTTTCTCTCATCATCCAGGCTGGAGTGCAGTGGCATGATCTTGGCTTACTGTAACCTCCACCTCCCACGTTCAAGTGATTCTCATGCCTCAGCCTCCTGAGTAGCTGGGATTACAGGCATGCACCACCACGCCCAGCTAATTTTTGTATTTTTAGTAGAGACGGGGTTTCACCATGTTGGCCAGGCTGATCTCGAATTCCTGACTTCAGGTGATCCACCTGCCTCGGCCTCCCAAAGTACTGGGATTACAGGCGTGAGCCACCCCACCCGGCCAAATATTGTGAACATTTTTAAGAGTGAAACGATATCCCATGTTGTGCCTGTACCAACATTTACTTTAACACTTGTTTATTTAGATAGTTTCTGCTTTTTTCTAGAAAACTATTTTCTGTGTGGAATTACTGAGTCAAAGGGGCACAAAAATATCAGGATTCTTGATACATATCACCAAAATGCTTTTGGAAATGTTACAGTAAGTTACAGTTCCACTGATAGTATCTGAGAGTGCCTGACAACATGTGATTCTAAACTCACCCTGCCCCTTTTCAAATGGGAATAGGACAGGCAGGAAAGGCCTGGAGTTAGGAGATGAGGGCTTCCATGCAATCAGGCTTGCACACGTGGCTTGGCCATGTGAGGACTCGGTCTCCTCAGGCGCTCTCAATGGTGCTCCCAAAGGCAGGAAAATATTTTTGTGTATTTGCTAAAGGGTGATGCCAGACTCTGGGTTTAATTTTGGTTCTCTTAAAATGAGCAATAAAGCAGACATACAGACACCAGAAGAGAGACACATCAAGGAAACTTTTCTGGTGCCCTTTTATTCACTACCCTAACAGCCTGCTCTGGCATCCAGCTTGGGAGCTTCCATTTTCTTTAAAAAAAAAAAAAAAAAAAAAAAGACCAGATGCGGTGGCTCACGCCTATAATCCCAGCACTTTTGGGAGGCCGAGGCAGGTGGATCACTTGAGGTCAGGGGTTTGAGACCAGCCTGACCAGCATGGTTTCCATTTCTACTGAAAATACAAAACTAGCTGGGCATGGTGGTGTATGCCTGTAATCCCAGTTACCTGGGAGGCTGAGGCAGGAGAATTGTTTGAAACTGAGAGGCAAAGGTTGCAGTAAGTTGAGATCGCACCATTGCACTCCAGCCTGGGCAACAAGAGCAAAACTCCATCTCAAAAAAAAAAAAAAAAAAAGATCCAGGCTGATCTGAAGTACAACTTTTAGGGGAGTGGCAGACAAGAGGAATTAGGTCCAAAAGTCATCCTTGACATCTCTTCCTTTATGCTCCATGGCCAATTCATCAGCACATGGTGTAAGATTCCCTTTCCAAATGTGCACAGAATCTAATCCATCACTGCCACTGCTCCCACCTTGGTCCAAACCTGGACAACTACAATGGCCTCCTACCTCATCCTATTGCTCCTCATTTTCCAGGGATAAATTCAGGGTGGTCCTTTAAAATACGTCAGATCATTTCAGTTCTCTGCTTAAAATCCTCCAATGGCAGGCTGGGCGCAGTGGCTCATGCCTGTAATCCCAGCA